GTGGTCCTTGTTCATGTACCGAACGAGTTCCACTACCTGACAGGCAGCGGGGCTTCGCGTGAACTGATACACGAGTTTAGTTCCATGAGTTGGAAGCGAGGTCCTGCTGCCCGCTAAACCGTCAGAAAACATGTCCGCCAACAGAGACTCCCAATCCAAAGTGCTGAATGGACTGTATATGGCAGAAATAGCCCATTCTGTTCATGGGATTGGAGCGCCATTCGTATGGTTACTGTATACGAACTGTTTTCCTTTATTAATGTTAAAGTTATGGATTTTTATGCAGTTTTCAGGGACATAATAAAACGTGGTCTTTTGTGCGCTTGGAGATAATTAGATTGTATAACCGTTGGCCTCATTATCTCCAAGCTGGGCGGGTACTAATTCAAATAATACACTGTATTGTGATTGGATATTTGTCTGTACTTTACCTGTATTCCATCAGGTCCACAGGGGGCTGTCCTTGGACCTGAGGAATCACATAAATTGCCATGCTATGTGCCAGTAAAGCCAGTTCGTTTTTGACCCTCAACTTGCAGCCTCGACTCATGTTGTAGGGATCCGGGATATTGATGCTTACATCGTGCTTGGGGATATTCTACACTTACAGCTTACTACCGAAAGACCTCCGTTCGACTCTCTGCAGCGGGAACCAGGACATCCAAGCGATCAACCCTCCTGCTACACTGGGGGCAATCGTAACACTGCCCACGTCAGTAGGAATTCTATGTCCACCCATCTCCTAAGGTCTGGGAATGAGTGACAGTGTATGATCTGGTTTAATTTGGCCACTAGGTAGTAATGGGACAGATGAGGGAGACTTACTCCTCCATACTTGGGATTGTACAGTAGGCTGTGGGCTAGTTCAGCGCTATTTTATTCTGCCATATGAATGAGTCAATTGCTTTTTGCATAGACGTCAGGTCTCCTCTGGTAACTTTTACGGGTAGTGACTGGAACATGAACAGTCGTCTCGGCAGGAAATTCATTTTTACAGAATGTAGGCGCCCCATCCATGAGACTGGCTTCTCTGCCCACTTCTCCAAGTCTCCTATGAGAGTGTGAACGATGGGGTATAGTTTCGCCTATATAGGGAGGCAGGGTCTGCTGTTAAATTGACTCCCAAGTATCTAAACTCGTCTGTCGCTATTTTAAAGTGGTATGTCTGACTGATAGTGGCCATGTCCAGGACCAAAAGGTGAAAGGGCATCGCAACTGACTTGGAGAGATTGACTTTCTAGTCAGAGAGGTCTCCGTAGTGGTTTAGCAGTGTTTCAAGGTTGGGCATGCTTTGTATCGGGTCTGTGAGGGTCAGCAGGACATTGTCTGCATATGCTGACACTTTAAAGGGTTTGGCGTGCTCATGTTCAGTCTATCACCAAATCCTGCCACTTCCATCTCAAAAAGATTGTGCGCATCTGACCCTACTTTACGCCAGATGTGACTAAGGTGCTGGTCCATTCCACTGTCCTTTCTCGCCTTGACTACTGTAATCCGTTTCTCAGTGGTCTTACATGCTCCCAACGTGCACCGTTACAGTCCATAATGAATGCAGCACTGAGGCTCATCTTTCTGTCCGCCCACACCTCCCACGCCTCACCCTTCTGTCAGTCCCTACATTGGCTTCCTGTAAGATCTAGGGCTCAGTTTAAAATTCCAGTTCTTGCTTTCAAATCTCTACATAATGCTGCTCCCACCTATCTATCCTCCCTAATACAGAAGTATGTCCCTCTAGGCCCTTACGCTCTGCTGAAGACTTGTGTCTATCTTCTGTCTATACTCCCACCTCTGATGCCTGCCTTCAAGACTTCTCGAGGGCTGCACCATTCCTGTGGAACTCACTTCCGTCCTCAGATGCTCACCCAGTCTCCACTCCTTCAAAAAATCATTAAAAACCCACTTCTTCATAAAAGCGTATCAATTAAACTGTTAATAGCTCCCAACTGATTCCTCTATTGCAACTGTCACGAGTCTAATACTATCCTTACCTTTTGTGTCACTTTACCCCACTCCCTCTAGCATGTAAGCTCATTGAGCAGGGCCCTCAACACCTCTGTTCCTGTGTGTCCAAATTGTCTGGTTACAACTACATGTTTGTTCGTCCACCCACTGTAAATCGCTGTGGAATTTGTTGGCGCTATATAAATAGCATAATGATAATTAATATTGACAGCATAATCTGACTTCCTCTTTAAACCTAAAACTCTAGAACTCGCCAATGCGACTCTAAATATGAAAACCTAGAAAAAGCACTTAATTCATTGATAATATTAGGTCATTATATTTAAGGTTTTCATAGCACAGTAAAAGAGAAAGCTGTGTAATAAAAGAGAATCACACTTTCCTCTGTCGGTACTTGCTCAAAGGCTTGAATCCATCCTTTGTGAATACACCTTACAATCCTAAAACTCTGGGGCAGGGACAAACCTAGATTTGACTTAACAGGGCCACACCTGAATGTAACTGACACGTGGCAAATATGGAAATTGCCTACACCTCTGTAAAATGTAGCTTGGATTGGTGTTAATGTAGAATCCTCTTCTTGTCTTCAGGTGATTGATATATATACGTCTTTTGTATATATATTCTTGGGCCAAATGCTCGCCACAATAATATATGTCTATATTATTGAAAAGTAGTAATACGCAATCTGATTTACGGTTTCTTCAGGTTTATGCTTTGTTACGGATACATAATAAAACATAATAAAGGATGTTACATGATAGTGGACGTTCAACAGCAGATGGTAATTGCTGGACTTCTTTTGCATCCTTACATCTAGGGAGAGAGAGCCAGAGCCAAGACCAAGCGACCTTGTGCCCCTCTTACTATATAGATGTGCTAATACTAACGTCAGCATTTAACTCTAGCCATATAAGGACAAAACCACCACATCCACATTCCAGAGCTCTCGGACAAAGAAAGCCTTGTGACTTATACCATCTGTTACTTATGTCAATCCACACATCCATATATAATCAATAGAAACATAGAATATGCAATATTCTACAACCTCATCTTGATATATTGATATGTAATACATAACACTTTCATAAGATTTACACGGATTATAAAAAGTATTGACAAACCTTTCAAACCTATATAGAGTTTGCAAAATAAAACGTGCATGTCCCTAATGAAGCCTTTTAGACATTATTGCAGCATAGAACTATGCTACCTGGAAACACGGGTACAGCAACTTCGAAATGAAATCGGACACCCAGGGATCCCAAATCATGACTATACACCAAGTCTGTAAGAACCTCTACAAACTAATATTGCATCATAGATATATGGAGGATCTAGAACAACAATAAGAGAAGGACCTAAGAAAAGGTACCTCTTAGTAGATTACCTCTTATACTAAAAAAAAAAAATTGGGGGGGAGAGGGGGGTATAAAACACAATCTACTTTTATTATTCTTTAAAAATATATATATATATATATATATATATATATATATATATATTTCCAAAAAACAAACTGTGTATAGTGTCACAACAACATGAAATACTTCCAAATTCCCCCTGCTACCTCTTGTCTCAAATCCCCACTGTATGCTTTAGAACAGGCTTCCCCAAAATCTGGCCCTCCAGATGTTGCTGAACTACAACTCCCATTATTCTCAGCCTATCTATTTCATTCATAGAATCATGGGAGTTGTAGTTCAGCAACATCTGGAGGGCCAGAGTTTGGAGAATCCTGCTTTAGGTTATAAGCACTTTGTATAAAAGAGCTTCCAGGGCAAGATACCAGCTTATGGGCTGGGTGCTCTCTACCTTTTGTATATGTCTATGTATTGTAACCGTATGTGGTTCCCTTATTTACCACTATAATGTCTTAAAGCATAGAACTTAGTAGGGCTAACCATACAGATATCTTAGCCATAATTTTATATAGTGTAAGAGATCCTCTATTAAACATAAAAAAAATAATTGAGAATACAATATGAAATAAGGATTGTCTTGGAAGCAAGATTGTCTTTTTGGATATTTATTATATAAAAATATAAAATCCATTATAGCAGAGTTTATAAGATTAAATTACATGCTTGCAAATATCATTAATAGGTTAACATACCCTTCTGAACATGTCATCATGCCAGCCTCTCTGTCATTTTAAGATGGAGCAGCGTCTGTCTCCAAGTCTCTCCTCTGTGTCTTAACATTTAAAAGTACACCTATTTATACCTTAGGTGTCTCCATTTTAGGTTACAGTAGTTCAAATATGAAAAAGTAACACTTCTTTTACTTTATTCAATTTAGGACCTCCCTTAACTTGGCAAACATACAAGGCCATAACTAAAGGGTGTATACGTCATGGAAATTTTCCTGACTTAGTTCAAGATGGCATCTTGAAGTCTGAATAGGTTATCTGTTGTTTATACTAAGTCGTAAGTGTACAGTCATGGGAGATTCCCGGATTTGGGGAAGTTCCATTAACTTGGGGTTACTACAGTATATTGTGTACTGCAAGAGTCGTAGCATAGCCTTGAAGCTTGTTTATGCATTATTGTTATTGTAATTCGTCTGGGACAAAATGGCGCAAACATATCATGCACTGAGGTTATTGCTTAAAGAAACAGTTATGAAAAACAATATGTTCCATTTCTAACACCTTGTCAGTTTGCAATATCTCTTAAAGACAAAGTACACAGTTTAAGAAATACAACATTTCATTCTAAAACTTGTAATATTTGCATTTGCCCGTAACACCCTCTCCATTAAACTGTGGGCATTGTAGCGCATTTCTTCCTTAAATTAGTAAACCAAAGTTCTCCAACAGTCTTTAGGTTTTTGTGCTCCCAGCATCTTTGATCATTGTTGTAACAGTAAAACATCCGTAGTATGATCTTTGCATGTGAAGGTGGTTGATTAAAATGAGCAAAGCTTTTGTCTGGGAAAGAATTGAAAAGAACACCAAGTTCCAGAGTAAAATATTCTTGGATAGATCCAGATACGAATTGTAATTACATTCCTTAGATACATTGCTCGAGGTTGTGTTTGTAGAATACCCGGGTATTAGTTGTTTAGTATTGGTTGTAGAGTCCAGCTTTCCAAATAATTGACTAGAATTGGTCGCAGATATTGAATCAGCATCATCTGTTATCACTGTGGTGATGGCATTGGTATTTGTCTTTGTCTTTTTTTTATTTTGTTTTTTCCATGAAACATTTTTACACCATTTATGATGTGTATAGATTGGATACTCTCTGATATTCTTTTATGGAATAAATTATTTGACAGCATTTCCAAGACATTGTCTTAAGTGACATGGATCCCATTATAGTAAATGTTATGTTGATACAGCAATCGAAGTGGATTCTCAAGAACGCCTCTTTTTGCTGTATTGGAATCTTTGTAACATCTCAGTGATAGACATCTCACTGACATCAGGTGCTGTTGTGCTAAAAATGTTAACAGGTAAAATCTGTGGAAAAATCTTTACATTTGTTATACTTTGTATAATAATGATAGATGAAATAGTAACATAGTTAATCTTTCTAGTGTTTTGTTTTAAAGATAAACACCCTTGTATATGATTTAGCTATATAAGGATAATTTGAAGCAGCAAAGTATTTACCGTCTTTGTTCAGAATGGTATGTAAAATTACATTCTCTTTAAATGTTAAAAATACTACTTTATTCAAAATGTCTCAATATATTTAGAATAGTTGCTAATTGGAAATATGACGTTAATTATCTTTCTTTGTCCTGTTAGGGAGAAGACAACTTATTCCCTAATTATAATTAGTAAATATAATAACTACAGTTATTAGTGGCTTAAAATACCAGAAACACCCAAAAATTGACTTTAAAACATTTAATAATTTTTTTTAACCAAGATC